TGTCTGACTCCAGTGCCGTCTGGCCAGAGTCTACCCCTTTAAGGGCCCGGGGCTGGGGGAGAGGAGAAGAGTTTTCCTGGTTGTGCCCAGAGAGGCCACCAGGGGGAACCTGGGAAGGGCTAGCCTCCCACTAGTTCGAATTAAGGGTCTACACAGCCCTTAATTCGAACTAGTAAGTTCTAACTAGGCTTAGTCCTCGTGGAATGAGGTTTACCTAGTTCGAACTAAGTGCTCCGCTAGTTCGAACTAAGTTCGAACTAATGGAGCGCTAGTGTAGAGCCTATCAAAGTTAATTCAAACTAACGTCCGTTAGTTCAAATAACTTTGTAGTGTAGACATACCCAAAGCCCCCCAATTGATTTTTCCGTAGGTCAGCAGCCCCCGACCCAAAAAAGGTTCCCTACCCCTAACTTAAATGGACATTTGTGCCGGTAGCTCAAAATGCAGACAGAGAAACTGCCACTGTGGGAAGGACAGAGTCATGCCTACTTGTCCAAGGACTGTACTGCAGTGAAGCCGTTGAGACATGGCCTGCAGAAAACAGTTGATGGTTAGAACTAAACCAGCAAGTGTTTCTTATTATGTCCCAAGACATTTTACATAAACCTCATGTGGCCTAATCTATTTTACACAATCTTCTGTGGCATGAAGACCATGGAATTTTCCCAATACCAAAAGAAATTTCAAGAATTTCAACCTCCAGTGTGTGGCTGGACATTTCAGATCTTTCCCGGGTGCAGAGGTCACGTTCTGATTGGCCCACAGTGGCTTGCCAAGAAGAAAACAATTCCACAGAAACAGTATAAAGCAAGTCCAACTCTCACTCCTTGAATCTCCTCTACCTGGATAAGAGAGATCACGAGCAGGACTGCAATTGCCTGGCTATTGAGAGCACCCCCTGTCTGGTAACTACTAAAGGTATAATCTCCCTTATAATCTCCCTATTAACTCTTGCTTTACAGTCCCATTTAGGGAGATGGTTGTGAGATCCAGAAATAGAGCAAGAACACAGCTGGCATAACCTCTTCGGTGAATGAATTCCCTGAATGAATTTTCTAGCTTTCTTGTGAAACCACCTGGGGTCACAATGTTACAGAGCTGGAGAATATGCATTGGTGCCAGTTTTAATGGTTAAGTAGCAACTTTAAATTCATTTTGATTCCCCCCATAAGAAATCGGTGGTTTTAAAACTGCCTGAGTTAAAAACAACTTCAGGTTAATTCCAGTCATCCAACTTCCCTTTAACCCGAAATCCAAGTTATCCCAATGCACGGTGGTTCCCACCCCACAGTGCTTTTAGGGAATCACTCACTGATGAGTCTTTTGAGCGTGGCTGCAACTGCTGTTGAGGAATTCCAGACTTAGCAATGAGGACAAAGAGAGAAGGGGAGAAGAAGGAGGGTGGCGGTGGGGAGGGAGAGAAAAAGCAAACAAGAAAGAAACAGAGGGCAGAGTCAAGGTGAATATTGAAAAGAGAAGCATGCAAGGAGAGAAAGGACAAAGGGAGACACAGGACAAGAGTAAAGGGAAAATGACCAGGGCAGGAGGGAAAGGAACAAAGAGAGGAAGAGGAGGATAGAGGAGAAAAAAAGGGAAGAAAATAAGGAGAAGTGGGGGTGTAACTACAGTAGATTGGAGCCTCTTTGTTACTTCTTGCAGAACTCCTCACATGGATATTTCTCGGCTCCACAAACACCAATATAATCCATGAAGGAGCAGGGCTGACTCACTCTCCCAGGGTTGGCAATAAAGCTATGTCTATACTATAGCTTTTTCTGATTGCTTTTCCAACATTTGGCCCGGTGTAGATGGGGCCAAATGGCAGAAAAGCCTCCACTTTTGGAGGAGCCCTTATTCCTCGTAGAACGAGTTATACAGGGCTCCCCGAAAGAGCGTGTCTGCTCTTCCATGAAAAAAAGCAGAAGAGCAAACGCGTTCCTTTGGTATCCCAGAAAACCCCCACAGTATAGACATAGCCTGATCAAGTAGTAAGGCACCTGTCTGCTATGACTTCTTTCCTCCGCCCCGCCTTGCCTGTCTCCTCTCTGCTTCCCTCTTTACTCTCTTCCATTTCTTCTCTGCCTCTCTTTGAACTCTGTCTGCAGTATTATTCCCTCTTTTCTCTCTTCCACCTTCTTCTCTGCCTCTCTTTGAACTCTGTCTGCAGTATTTGGGGAACAGCCACCCTGCCACAGCATGCAGGAGCAAAGTCCAGCTTTGTCTCACTCCAGCCATATCCTCTTTGCTTTTAGCACTCAATTCTCTTGCATATTTGCTTGGCCCAGTGCCCAGCTATCCAAGGTTCTGGATGTTGCCAGGTCAGTCAGATAAATGAGAGTGTGCTGTAACCAAAAATGGGATGTACGTTTGTATTTTGCTAATAAACTGGATCTTAGTTGTCTGGAAATTAGGCTAGATCAGTATGGCACAGCAACATTATTTTGAAATAACTAACATTATTTCAAAATGACATAGTCCGCGTCTACACAGTTGGCAGTTATTTTGACATAATGTTGAAGTACTCTCAAGCTGAAGGACTTCTTACTCCAACTCCTATAGCCCAGAAGATTTCTCTATTTTAAAATAAGTGCTGTATAGACAGCACCTAAACTCGAAATAAGCTATTTCGAAAAAGCTACGCAGTTGACATAGCTCAATTTGCGTAGCTTATTTCGAGATAAGTCCTGCTGTGTAGAAGCACCCTATGTGATTATGAATGTTAGAGCTGAGAAATATTTATAAAACAAAATGTCTCCTCTATCAAAGATAAATTAGAAGAACCTTGGGTGTATCTTAGAAATCATACAGAGTTTGGGCAAAATTGACAGCTTCTTTCATAAAAGGAATAGATTTGATTGGCTGGTAAGCTATCTGAATATTAAGTTAACCTTGGATATTTAGTTCAAGTGAACTAAGCATTCTAGAGAAACTGAAATAGTTTAAATTGGAATAGTTTAAATCAGTATCTGCATTATGTGTTTATGCTTTAATGAGAGATAACTAATTGAATTGTTACTCAACCTTCTTAAGTAACTGATTTTATAAGTTGTAATCTTAAAACTGTTTGTTAGAACTCCCACAGATGCTCCCTTAATTTCATTGATGAATACCTTTGGCTAGAAATGCATTAAAGGATTCATAGTTTGATGTTGGTACCAAAGTCGCCTGCCCAGAATAGTACAGAACTAGAGGAAAGTTTGCCTGTGTAACACAACTGTGATAAGGCCTTGAATAAATGGACGTAACTTGGTAGATTGTTATAGCATATCATGAATTCATTGTAATAATTTCATACACATGAAAATCCCACCACCTTCCTTTTGTTCTCTGTAATTTCTTAATTGTTTTCAATTCTATTTTGGCAAGTAAAATATTGGAATGTGACATAATTCTCCAGGCTGTATTTTGGTTAAGGAAAAAGAGATTACGCAAGAGAAACCTAATTTAAGACATCGGAAAATTGAATTTCGTTACAATAATATTTCTAGAGCTCAGCATTTTCCCACGGCCTATAATCTGCAGAAACAAAGAGTGAGGGAGGATTTGATAGCAGCCTTCAACTTCCTGAAGGGAGGTTCCAAAGAGGATGGAGAGAGGCTGTTCTCAGTAGTGACAGATGGCAGAACAAGGAGCAATGGTCTCAAGTTGTGGTGGGAGAGGTCCAGGTTGGATATTAGGGAAAACTATTTCCCTAGGAGGGTGGTGAAGCACTGGGATGGGTTCCCTAGGGAGGTAGTGGAATCTCCATCCCTAGAGGTGTTTAAGTCTCAGCTTGACAAAGCCCTGGCTGGGTTGATTTAGTTGGGATTGGTCCTGCCTAGAGCAGGGGGCTGGACTTGACCTTCTGAGGTCTCTTCCAGCTCTAGGGTTCTATGAAATATAGAGTCTCTGTGTCTTCTCTATTTTGGTGTCTCTTTTCTCCAGTGACACCTAGTTCCCAACTGAGCTTCAGCCATGAAGATTCTTTATCTGCTCTTTGCTGTTATATTTCTGGTGCTCCAGGGTGCTCCAGGTAAGAAGTAAATGGAAACATGGGATGATACAGAGTGATATATAGGACTCTATACTGAAGTTGCTTAATCTTTATATTAGAAACCTGTTTCTCATAGACTTTAAGGTCAGAAGGGACCATTATGATCATCTAGTCTGACCCCCTGCACAGTGCAGGCCACAGAATCTCACCCACCCCTCTTAGAATAATCCTCTCACCTATATCTCAGATATTGAAGCCTTCAAATACTTTGAAGACCCCAAGATGCAGAGAATCCTCTGCCTTTTTCCTTCTGACTTCCAGCATGTCTTCAGTTTGCAGACAATAAGTAAAATTTGGGAGGAATTGTCCCAGGATTAGGGATGTGGCTTTGCTATCCCTAGTAAAAGTAATTGAGATTTGACTGAAACTTGATCACTGGGGAGAAAAAAAAATCCCATTATGTTTTCCTTCGATTTTTGGAGGGTTGCAGCTTAAAGCACCCCACAATTTCCTGAAACAGGTACTCACAGAATTAAACAACCAGATGCAATATAGACAAAATAAACTCATGCCAACCATGTTCAATAGACCTTGGGTTTAGGGGGAAGGGCACAGGGCTGGGAGCTGGAAAACTGTAACTTAAAATGTAACTTCTGTGCTGGCTAGTGTTAATATTTCATTATCTTTCACAGCCCGTAGAATAAAGACAGGCCTCATGTAGCACAGAGAGGTTGCACAACTTGGAACAGAACCCAATCTATAAAAGGGAAGCTGCTTATCCCAGTGATATATAATCATAGAAGATTAGAAACAGGTTAATCCGACCTCTGCTCCAAGTAGGACCAGTCCCAACTAAACCATTCCAGCCAGGACTTTGTCAATTTGAGCCTTAAAAAAAACTCTAAGGAATGGAAACTCCACCACCTCCCTAGGAAACCCATTCCAGTTCTTCACCACTCTCCTAGGGAAATAGTTTTTTCCCTACTATCCAGACTACAGCTACCCTTGTTTTGTTATCTGCCACTACTCAGAACAGTCTAGCTCCATCCCCCTTGGAAACCTCCCCTTAAGGTAGTTTCCCTTCACTCTTTTCTTCTGCAGACTAAATAAGACCCATTCTCTCAGCCGCTCCTCATTAGTCATGTGCTCCAGCCCCCTAATCATTTCGTCCCACAACCTTTCTTAGCTACAAGTTGGACCTCTATAGTGCAGATGTCTATCATCCGGCAACATCTGTGGTCTGGCATCCCTGTGGCTGCTCCCGGGCTGGAACACTCATGGGATCCCATGCTGAGTAATTGCTCCTGCATGGGTTTACAGCCTGGGTATGTCTACGTTGCACGCTTATTTCAAAATAGCATGTCTACATTGCAGGGAGGCCTCAAAATTAGTCCGAGGCAGGTTCCCCTAATGTAGACGTGCTATCTCGATTTAGAGCCCCACTGGGGAGGAATTACTTAGAATGGCCCTGATGAGGGGCTATTTTGAAATAGCAGCAGTGGAGCATCTACACACGCCTCAGTTCGAAATTGCTACTTTGGAAGAGGCGTTATTCCTCATAGAATGAGGCTTATAGATTTCAGAATAAGCCATCCGTTATTTCAAAATAATTTCAAGATAACGGAATGGCTGTGTAAATGTTCGCATTTATATTTCGAAATAACACTAGTTATCTCGAAATAACGGTGCATTGTAGACACCTCCCCTCCCCCCAGCCTCCCAGCTACAGAGTTCTTGCAGCCACTCGGCCTCTTCTCCCGAGTCCCCAACCTATCAATACTGGCCCCTTTGCTGCCATCAGAGTGGAGCACCACAGCCAGTGGCAGCAGAAAGGGGAAGCATTGACCTCCCCATCTTGAAAATTCCCTGGTTCGCGACCAGCCCCAGGGTGCTGGACCAGGAACTTACAACCAGGAAGTTACAACTTCAGCTGTGCATTTTAGGGCTGCATGTTCAAAATAGCAGGTCCTTCCGTTACAACCACAGAGTGACAACTGACCAACAAGAATTTATTCCTCCCAGACAAGCAGAGGTTCATACCAGAAGGGATGTTTTTTCAAGCCCTTCTCTTTCAAAAACTACAGTTCTCCAACCCGGTGCTGAGCTTGTTCAACCCTGCTTGGCTAAATTGCATTGAGGATCCTGCCTACCACATCACTGTCAGAGCCAGAGAGACGCACCTTTATAGCAGCAGCCACTCACAGAAGGTAGAGATGTGGGCAGCTATCGTGAATTAGCGACTATAACTCACGAGTTATACACGTTTTTACAAACACACACACACCCCATGGGGTATACATGTCCGCATCTTATACATGCTGATTTTTACTCAAATTAAAAGAAGACAGGACCAACATGATAAAATCAGCATCTTCGATTTAATACCAATTTAATTTAATAAGAACAGCAGTGTTGTGGGCACCATTCGTCAGGAAGCTGTTGCCCAATAGATGTCCGTGTTCACACTGAAAGGTTGTTTATTTTCATAAATTTGAAAACCCAGTTACCTTCACATTGAAAGGTTGTTTCTTTTCATAAATTTGAAAACCCAGTTACCCGAGCCCCCTTTAAAATCATCGACTTTCATCCCTACAGCAATAAGTCGAGCCTTGAGCTTTATGGCTACCGTTGACACCGCACGTTGGCTATCTCTCTTTCTTTCCTCAGCGCGCTCTTTTCCGAGGATTTAATTTCTCAATCTCCGCTTCTTCTTTTCTCCACTCCCGAATAGACTTTTCGTTGATGGAAAATTTTCTCCTCGCTGCTCTATTGCCATTTTCTTTTGCATATGTCAGAACAGATACTTTAAAATTGGATATATATGATTTGTGCTTAGGCATCCTTACAAATATTTTGTTATAAACTGAAGAGGTTTTAAAACTGTGTGGTTCATAGGGCTTATATACCGGTAATAGGGTAGTATTTATTGTTCAGTGCCCTCAGCTGCGGTTCATTACCAGTTCATTACCCGCGGTTCATTACCTGTGGGTTATGTACGTCCGTGAGTAATCTAAGATTTTTTTAATACATGAAAGAAAAACCACGGATAATACACGAGTGCGTGTTATACATGGACATGGGTTATATATGCTAATTTACGGTAATTGCTTTCCATTGCTTAAAGCAGTGGTCCCCAACGCGGTGCCCGTGGGTGCCATGGCACCCACCGGGGCATTTATGTGCACCTGCTGAAACATCTGGGCTGGCCTCACCCCCAGCGCGTGGCACATGAGTGGTGCCAGCCCTGAGTGTGGCGCATGGGCGGCCTCTGCCCCGGGCACGCGGCACATACACGTTGCCGGCCCCGGGCGTGTGGGTGGCCCTGCCCCCAACCGTGCAGTGCATGCATGGCCCCACCCACGGAAGCGCAGCACGTGAGTAGCCCCGCCCCGGGCACCTGGCAGCCACGAAAGGTTGGGCACCAGTGGCTTAAAGGCTTGGGGGTAGGAAAGCTCTTGGACCTACAGTTTTCAACTCAGCAGTATGAGAGCCAACATCCTCACTTTGTCCCCTTCTTAGGGTCAGCCACCCACTGTGCACAAAGCTACAGCCATTGAAGCAGTACTAAAATTGCAATAAACTTTTGCCCTGGCAGATAATGGGGCTGTCTTAGCCAGGTGTTAGTAAATGGGGAAAAGCCTGTCATCCTGAAATCACAGCCTGAAATTTCCCTGCTCTTCAGAATGAAGGTGACTCTTTTTCTTTCTACAGAATGGTCCCAGGCTCAGAATTGGAGTATGAGATGCAGATACCGTGGAGGGTTCTGTCGCACTGGGAGGTGCCCTTCTAATACAATACGCATTGGAAAATGCTCTGGAGACGGAAAATTTTGCTGTCAAAGGTGAGTTCAGCATTCTACAAGGGAGACACGGCAGTGTGAACAGAAATATTCATTCCTCTTCTTCCGTCCAAGCTGTTGTGTAATGCTTGGAGAGGCTCATCCCACCTGTGCCACCCACGTGTAAGGCCACCTGGGAGAGGGAGTGGCTCCCACAGGTGTGAGAACCACTCCTCTGGCTGCTCTCACATAAAACAACCCTAGGCACGCTGCCTGTGGGCTTCCCCTGAGCTTGGATCTGTCCAGGTTGTCTTCAGTGCTTAGTGCTGCAGGGATCTGGAGTACTGTGTCCAGTTCTGGGCCTCCAGGGGAGGACTGGCCCAGCGGGATACTGGAAATTTCCCAGTGGGCTGTCGTCCGGTGGGCCGTTGTGTCCGCACATCATTTTCCCTCACTCCAAGTGGCTCCGCGTCCGCGCTTTATGCAGCACGCAGAGCCCAACCCACCACCTGCGCCACGTGCCAGACATGTCGCAGGGGGTGGGGCTTGAGGGGCACGCAGGGGTGACGTCATGGGGAGGGCTATTCTCAACCCATTTCCCGGGCCTATTTTGATTGACAGTATGCTCTTGTGGGCCCCCCACTATAGAAAGGATGTGGACGCATTGGAGAGGGTCCAGCAGAGGGCGACCAAAATGATTAGGGGCTGGAGCACATGACCTATGAAGAAAGCCTGAGGGATTTGAGTTTGTTTCATCTGCAGCAGAGACGAGTGAAGGGGCATTTGATAGCAGCCTTCAACTTCCTGAAGGGAGGTTCCAAAGAGGATGGAGAGAGGCTGTTCACAGTAGTGACGGATGGCAGAACAAGGAACAATGGTCTCAAGTTACAGCGGGAGACATCTAGGTTGGATATTAGGAAAAACTGTTTCCCTAGGAGGGTGGGGAAGCACTGCAATGGGTTCCCTAGGGAGATGGTGGAATCTCCATTCCCTAGAGGTTTTTAAGTCTTGGCTTAACAAAGCCCTGGCTGGGTTGATTTAGTTGGGATTCGTCCTACCTTGGGTGGGGGGGCTGGACTAGGTGACCTTCTGTAGTCTCTTCCAGCTCTATGATTCTATGATTTCCCCCTTAGACTACGAGCCTACAGCAGCATCTCCAATGACCACCCCAGCTCCAATGATTGCAACAGAGCCAACACAGTTTTAATATGGCATTCTTATGCTGCTCATGCTTTGGGAGAATCCTCCCTCCCAAGTCCTTTCATGGCCCTTGTACAGCTTCCATATGCTCCCAAAGCTTCATAGATATGCAGGCTGGACTTCCCACTATCTACATTGCTTTTATATTTTAAATTAGAATATAGAAGTCTTGTCAGAAAAATCAAGTCTGGAGGAGAAAGCAGAGGCTGGGTCTGTTCTGTATCCGTCTGCAGGGGGGGTGAATGTAATAGTTAGAAATAACAGAATATCTGTAACATGAGAAACAAGGCTGTTTGTCTCAAATTAGAAGGGAGGGTTAGCAAGTTGAGAGGGGAAGCTAAGGCTATCTGGGCTGAAACTATGGCTGGGAGGGATAAGGGGAAAAAGGCCTTTTTAAAGAAATATCAATAAGAAAATAAATCTTAACAATGATACGGGCCTAGTCATAGATGAGGATAAAATTGCTGATAAGAAGGCAGAAATGGCAGAAGTGTTCACTGCATAGTGCTGTTCTGCCCTGGAAAAGAAGCAGGATGATGTACTGGTGTTAAATGGAGATGGTGACTCCCATCCGTGCATTAGTAAATAAGGAGGATGTTAAAGAATAGGCACTAGGATTAGATACTTTGCAATCCACAGACTCCCATTACAGAATCCGCAGAGAACTGGGTGAGGAGATCTCTTCCACCACTCATTGTTAATAAACTGTGGAGTGTTGGGGAGATTCTAGAAAACGAGAGGAATGTTTAATGTAGGCCTGTCAACTGACCTGCGTTAATACCTGCGATTAACACAGGATAGGATTAACATGTTATTTTTTTTTACACGTCAGTCACAGGCTTTAATGCTGCATTGCCCCTTCGAAGTGTAGCTCTGACACTTCAAAGGGGCAGCTCATTAGGAGCCTGGGATCAGCTGAGCACTCCAGCTGATCCCAGCCCCACATTTCAAAGCTACAAAGGGGCTACAAAAGGGAACTCCAGCTGATCCCAGGCTCCTGATGTGCTGCCCCTTTAAAGCACCACCATGGGGCTTCAAAGAGGTAGGGCAGCATGGAGCCCAGGGTCAGCTGGGGACTCCAGCTGACCCCAGGCTCCATGAAGTGCTGCCCCATTGAAACTCTGCCAGGGCATTTGAAAGGGGAGACACACATGATTAATCATAATGCAGGACAATGTAGCACTTTAAAGACTAACAAGATGGTTTATTAGATGATGAGCTTTCGTGGGCCAGACCCACTTCCTCAGATCAAATAGTGGAAGAAAGTAGTCACAACCATATATACCAAAGGATACAATTAAAAAAAATGAACAATATGAAAAGGACAAATCACATTGCAGAACAGAAGGTTTTTTTTAATTGTATCTTTTGGTATATATGGTTGTGACTATTTTCTTCCACTATTTGATCTGAGGAAGTGGGTCTGGCCCACGAAAGCTCATCATCTAATAAACCATCTTGTTAGTCTTTAAAGTGCTACATTGTCCTGCATTTTGCTTCAACTACCCCAGACTAACACGGCTACATTTCTATCATGATTAATCATGGGATTAATCACAATTAAATTTTGTGATTGCTTGATAGCCCTAGTTTAATGTTCTACTGATCAGTCCAAGGGCAGGTCAAATTATCTAGATAAGGATAGGACACTAGTGACATAGTTTAACTCATACACATTCTGAGCACGGTGTACTTTGCCATCTAGTGGCCACCCAGGCCACTACAGAGAGAATAATGAGTCTTCTACAGACATAGCATGCCACAAAGTTCTGAGTTAAAGGCTTGCACCGCACAACCTCATTAAAGCACACATATAACATAACGTATTCCATATCTCTAGGCTTTTCTATTCTGGCTCTGCCTGTTTCGGACTGTATCCATCATAAACAATACAAGACACCCAGTATGGTCAAATTAGTTTTGCAGCAGGGTCCCAGAGAAGCAGTTTGGAGGGTGAGAGATTTTTCCCAGCTACTAACAGTGTGGGTTGGTGGCTGGAGATGTAAAGTTGGTAGTCCCTTGAGGTTGTAGAGTGAGAGCCAGGGAATTCATCTGGAGTGGCCAGGCCAGCAGCTGCTTGTATGCAACTGCCACCAGGAAGGAGTAAGCCTTCAGCGAGAATTGCAATTTTCCTTTCATTCTGGAAGAGTAAGTTAAGTGTCACCTAAGTAGGTCTCTGTGATTTTAGCTGCTGCTGTGCACAAGGTGTGCATGATAGAACAGCTGTATCTGAATGTGAGTTGTGGTCTTCTGCAGTACAGGGTTTATAGGCATCTAGGTTCACCTGTTTAAATACACATGACTATTCCTCTTACAACTCTGTAACAGAATGTTGCAGTGGGGAAAATCAATTCTCCATGCTGGAGTTAACAAGCAAACTCTTTGCCCACCACAGAGCAATTGATCAATTCCTCCTGTGCTTTTTTATTTGAATTCAGACTTCACATTATCCCTGTTATATGGGGGGAAAGCATACATAAATCTGATTCTCTTTTCTTTGTACAGGAAATTATTTGACTGATGGTCTAGGCAGGATCTCTGGGAAGCTGAGAGACAATGATTTGCTTCTAAAATCATCAGGCCCTCCTTCAATGAAATGCTGAAATGCTGTTTATTTGGGCTGTAAAAAACTTTGTGTGCTGGAGACATTCCAGAAGGGAGCCCTTGTATCACTATATAAGATTTGCTGCTTTCCTTTTAATAAAAGCAAGCTGGTTCCAACTAATCATGGTGAAGTGTGTGTGTTGGGGGGGGGGAGGAGGAAGAATGTTGTTTTTATAATTTGTCTCCTTTAGAAAGCCATTTTAAAATTCAAAATAAAATTCCCTGAAAACATATGTGTCACATCTTAATTCAACACCTCTGTGTTTGTAGACTGTGGCCCATACATCTCTGTCAGCTTCAGTGAGCTCCTGTGCGTAGTTCTCCATTTCTCATCATTGTTGCAAGCCTTTTCAGTATTTGATGCCAGAGGGGCTGTATTCAGTCAAAGCTTGACTCTATGATGGAGTTGCATGGTACCTAAACCCCCTCCAGCTCTCCTCTACATTGAGGAGAAAAGGAAAATCAGGCCAAACTGCATTCAAGTCTCATGTGTGATTCTCTTCCCTGTTACATGGACTGCTGGAAAACAGGAGTCACTGCACTGAAGCCATCATAGTTACATTAACATAAAACTGATCGCAGAATTATAGAATACTAGAACTGAAAGGGACCTTGAGAGATCATCAAGTCCAGTCCCCTGCCCTCATGGCAGGACCAAGCCTGGTCTATATAATCCCTGATAGATGTTTGTCTAACCTGCTCTTAAATATCTCCAGTGATGGAGATTCCACAACCTCCCTAGGCAATTTATTCCAGTGTTTCACTACCCTGACAGTTAGAAGTTTTTCCTAATGTCCAACCTAAACCTCCCTTACTGCAGTTTAAGCCCATTATTTCTAGTTCTATCTTCAGAGGTCAAGTAGAACAATTTTTCTCTCTCCTCCTAGTGACACCCTTTAGATACCTGAAAACCGCTATCATATCCCCTCTCAGTCTTCTCCTTTCCAAACTAAACACGCCCAATTCCTTCAGCCTTCCCTCATAGCTCACATTTTCTAGAGCTTTAATCATTTTTATTACTCTTCTACGGACCTTCTCCAATTTCTCCACATCTTTCTTGAAATGTGATGCCCAGAACTGGACATATTACTCCAACTGAGACCTAATCAGTGCAGAGAGGAGCAGAAGAATGACTTCTCATATCTTGCTCACAACACTCCTGTTAATGCATCCCAGAATCATGTTTGCTTTTTTGGCAAACTTAATTTGTGACCCCACAACAGCCAAGAAGCAGAACACTATTCTAATATCTAGCAGGCCTAAGCAAAGCAGGGGCATACTGTATTTACATAAACATATCCCCGGATTTCTTTCCCATTTCAGCTGGCTGTAATGAAAGCATTGATTCAGGCCCTACTTACCCCAATTACATACATTAGGTTTCCTGAAATTCTTTGGATCTCATTCCATTGCCAAAATACAGTCTGGAAAATTATTTCAAGATTATGAGTTTTATTAACCACAATAGAACAATGTAATTTGATGCATTTTTGGTTGGGCACAAAAAATATTGATAGCAAGTCTTGGAGTATAACACAAAATAACTCTGACCTGTGTACACTAACCTGATTATTCTTTGCAATTCCTTTGATAGTTATAAAGATGGCTACACACATTATAAGATCTCATTAGAACTGGCCATCCATATGGGCCTTATAATATATAAACTATGGTAGGACCACATCTTGAATAATGTGGTCTCCTCACCTCAAAAAAGATATTTTAGCCTTGGAAAGGGTTCAGAAAAGGGCGACTAAAATGATTAGGGGTTTGGAACACGTCCCATATGAAGAGAGGTTAAAATGACTGGGACTTTTCAGTTTAGAAAAGAGGAGACTGAGGGGGGGATATGATAGAGGTCTATAAAATCATGAGTGGTGTGGAGAGGGAGAATAAAGAAAAGTTATTTATTAGTTCCCATAATAGAAGAACTAGAGGACACCAAATGAAGTTAATGGGTAGCAGGTTTAAAACTAAGAAAAGAAAGTTCTTCACACAGCGTGTAGTCAACCTGTGGAACTCCTTGCCAGAGGAGGCTGTGAAGGCTAGGACTAAAACAGAATTTAAAGAGAAGCTAGATAATTTCATGGAGGTTAGGTCCATAAATGGCTATTATCCAAGGGATAAAAATGATGTCCCTGGCCTCTGTTTGTCAGCGGCTGGAGAAGGATGGCAGGAGACAAATCGCTTGATCATTGTCTTCGGTCCACCTTCTCTGGGGCACCTGGTGCTGGCCACTGTCGGTAGACAGGCTACAGGGCTAGATGGACCTTTGGTCTGACCTAGTACGGCCATTCTTAAGTTCTTATAATAATTCAGTGAGATTCACTTTACAGACTTTCACTTTTTCCCAGCTTTGTAACATATAAATTGAGGGTGTTGCATTCTTTATTGTAAAAGAATGCCTTGTTATAACTTTGTTAATGATCAGTTGTATATACACAATACTGCCCAACATGCTTACAATATTCCTTATAATGAGATCATTTTAGCAATGAAACTTCCTCAGGTGGCAGGGATCTGTTGCTGAATATTCAAGATAGATTATAATTTTCTATTTAGTTTCTAAAATTGAACAATATGTTGCCATAACCAATAAGAGTTCATCTACTGTGTCTCTGTTATGAAATTCTAGGCAAGTAGCAAATAATACAGAAGGAACTGATAAAAGTTGAAGTTACTTCACAACTTACTAAGAATTTGTGGTTACCTCTGTGAGTGATCGTTGTAGTTACTCAATCTAACTCCTCTGTCAAGCTCAGACACGATACAATAGGACGTGTGCCTACATTCTGTCAAGGATTATGTTTTTATGCCTGTATGTGTACAACCCAGAGGCACTAAAACCACTGACATCTGCCTCTGGATTCCTGCAGCTCCTCTTGGTGAACCGCAGCCAATAGGAGCTGTATCAAAGCCGGGATCTCTCCCCTCTATTTTCCCAGGACAAATCCTCCATCCTTAAAAGCAATGAGGAGTGAGTCACTTGAAGTGAGTTTTACTCATGAAAGCTCATGACCTAATAAATCTGTTAGTTTCTAAGGTGCCACAGGAGCGCTCATTGTTTTTACAGTAACGGACTAACATAGCTACCTCTTCTGAGACTTTCCTCCAGCCTTAGCAATGCAGATAAAAGGGCGCACAGCACTCAGGGCCTGCAGGTGACACGCGGCTCTCAGAGTTAGTTTCATTCACACTGTTCAGCTTTTCTGCTGACAGGGGATTTCCCCTTCACCTCGGTAGGGAAACTCGGGCACCACAGTTGACGGAGATACTCTCAGGTCTGCCGAGTTGGTTCCAGCAGAGCTCAGTCTTCATGTAGGGCTGGCTCCCATCTCTCCCCTTGAAGATCTGTCAGTCCTCCCTCTGGACTAGGAGGGTAGCACCTCTCTCCACCCTCTCGAGCAACCCTCTGAAGAGTGGAGATGGAGTAGCTGAGCAGCCTGAAGATAGGATGAGGGTCAGGCCATTGGGACCTCTCCCAGAAGACTCCAAAGGCACAAGGGGTGAGCCGGGGTGGGGTGAGGATCTGGAGTCTGGGAAATGGCACTTAGAAGTACATGGCGGGGGCTGAAAATCAGCCATGCCATTGCTTGTACAAAGCGTGGCCATTCCGATTTTTGTTGCTCTATTATAAAAGGAGAGAA